AAGTGGCAGCAGGAGTGGGATGCAGCAGAGAACGGTAGATGGACACATAGGCTAATACCGATTCTTTCGACCTGGGTGAACAGGAAGCATGGAGAAGTCAACTTCCACTTGACGCAGTTCCTGTCTGGTAATGGCTGCTTCAGGAAGTACTTGCATCGGTTTGGACACACAACGTCACCCTTCTGTCCGGAGTGTGGGAATGTGGAAGAATCACCAGAGCACGTGGTCGTCGAATGTCCTAGATTTGATGCTGTGCGAGAAGTGATGGTTGCCCTTAACACGGAGAATGTCGTCGAAGAAATTTGTCGAGAGGAGGGCACCTTTAACGCCGTCAGCTGAGCAGTAACGCAGATCATGTCAGCGCTGCAGCGAAAATGGCGAGAGGACCAGCTAGAAAGTAGTAATATGCTCACACAAGTGCGAAGTGAAAGCCGAGGCCGAGAGAACTCTCCGTCAGAGTAGGCTGAATCCACCACCGGGGATTAGCCGAGTAGAGCTAAATGGCTCACAAATTGGAGAGACGATATGCAAACGCCAATTAGCTGAGGAAGCGCCAATTAGCTGAGGTAAAGTGAGGTGCGTAATGCACGGTCCCCTCCGAAGTAATACCACAAGTGGTTCCGGGGGAAAAGGGCAAGGCGTCCAAGGAGGTATTAGTGCGGTAAGAATCCCACACACCATGTCACCGCGACTGTGCGCCCAGTCATCAAGCGGTGGCACGATGGCCTTTTGAAGGTTTCCCCCTAGCCAAAAAAAAAATGTGCAAAGGTCAAACGCAAAGGAATTGATTTTGCCAAGTGGCGGTACTACCAACTAACAAACATTTAAATTTGTCGTTAAAAGCAATTTCGATGAATATTTTGAGAGTGTTATATCTGCTCTGTTATCATATCTTCACTAATGCAACTTCGGATAAGTTGAGTGTTCACTCGGCTGTCGACAAAAGCAGACCACTCTCGATGTGTGCTACGCGATTGTCTGTTTTCTCGGCAGCAACCATTGTGTGGTCCTCCTCATTGTTCTTCATCAGCAGTTCTTTCGGTCGATGCGTCGTCGACTTTGGAAAGCAACCGTTTCGTGATGAGTGTGTGAGTGCTGACCACGTTTTGCGTCCATTGCTGCAATGGACGCGCTCTGACCCTCGTTGGCGTACAACAGTTTGCCATACAATGAAACTACTGGAAGCGGCTCCAGTTCTGATGGAGGAGGCTTTTTGGATAGTGGAAGATAAAGTGTTTATTGTGTTGTACCTTTTGACTATATTTTTAAGATGTATTGTATAGTGACCAAGAATCCTCGGCTCTGTTAAGTTAATTCGGTTGAGCCTTATCAAATAAATTAATGAACAAAAAAAAAAAAAACTTCGGATAATCCGCGAAAATACTTGCATTTTTCTCAGTCATTTTTGATCTAACTGCAATCACTCTCTCATACTCGAAATGTGCCATGACCAAATTGGCACAACGACACCCTATCCCGAGCAGGAGAAAATAACTAATGAATACCCAATTCTGACCTGATACCAAAATTTGGTATTGTCCAACATGACATAGAGGTAAAATACCAAAGAATAATACCAAAAAATTTCATACAAAATACTTTGTGAATACCAAAAAATTATATTTGGATACAAAAAAATACCTGTGAAGTATTGCTTAGGTATTGGATTATCATAATTTGGTATTGAAATGGTATTGTAGGAACATTTTTTGGTATTATTTTTTAGTATTGAGGCATTCCACGAAGGTTCGCATATCGATCCTGACCGATCATTTCCAATTACGCTGAAACTTTGCACAGTTGTTCCTTTTTAGTAAAGGCGCCATTTTGTGCTCTCAGTTTTTCTTATTGAATTACGACTACTTTTTGAAAAGGGTTTGTGTAAAAATAGTACTAATGAGTTTAAAAATATATATTGCCGAAACGCTTTGTTCGATTGATTTGGGGTCTAGAGCAAAGTTGTAGATATTATTTTGGCAATTGTGTAAAAATATACACTGTAAAAAAATTCGTTTGTATCAATGAAAAAAATATATTTATTATTAAAAAAGTTAATTTCTTAAAAAGTACATTTTTGAAAATTTTCGTTTTAAGCCTCATTGAAGCTCATAATGTTTGCTACTAACTTGCAAAGTTTGGTGATGGTATGGTTATGGTTTTTTTTGAATATTTCACGATTTTTACATTTTCATTAAAAACACATTTTTTTAACCGTGTATATTTTTTCAAGAATTGCGGAGAAGTCGAAAGAATCTTCCAAAAGAAGGAAAAGGCTTTTAGAAAACACTTTCGAGTGAGCCTAATAGATTTCTGAAAAATATAGATGGAACGTCAGCGGAAAGACGGAAGAAATTGGCAGAAAATGCAGGAAACCGGAAATATCTCCCGGCAGAAGTTGAAGGAAATTTCCATGGAGAATAGGAGAATCCTCCGGGGATAATCAGAAGTAATATCCAGGGATGTTCTAAAAATTATTCCAAGAGAAGTCAAAAAATCGACCAAGGGAAACATCTTCCGAGAAAGACAGTTCCAGGAAAAGCCAAAAGTCGGAGAAATTTCCGAGGAAAGATAAAACAAACTTGCGGGAGTAGTCTGAAGGAGGGGAATTCCCGGGAAGCGCCATCAGCCGTTTTCCTATTTCCAGGTAGTTGGGAAATACTAATAGTGGACCAATTTTGAAACTTTTTAAATACACGTGTTCACAATAACAGTGGATTAAAAATATTATTATTTTTTTTATTTAAAAGCTTTTCCAAAAAGTATTACATTGAATTTTAGTTGCATGGCTTATCATCCAGCGAACACCGCAGCAAATGATATAAGTTCTTGCAGACGATGGAATCATTTTTTATCTTTTTGTCTACACGCTAACTTTTTTTTCCCTTGATTTGTTTTCCGTCCTGAGCACCAATGCTACCGACGCCAGGGAGGCAGCTCCCACACCTAGACCCTACCTATCGACCCATAATAATTGTTGGTACTTACGAAATAGTTCTTCAATTTATCTAACGAAATTACACAGTTCCGTCATGATATAATCCATGCTTCCTACAAAGTTTCACAGAATTTTTCACGATAAAACACTTGCTTCTGGATTTTACTGAAGCTAAACTGGCGGCGGGAATAAAATTAACAGGTGTGAATTTTTCAATTCGTGATCGGTAAATAAATAAATACTGTGCACAAAAGTAATTATTTTTACTGACTTTTCGTGAAATCTTGAAAATTTTGAAATTAATGACTTTCTCAGTAAATGTATATTCTGTGTACAGTATTTTGCATGAAACGATACCGAAGTTCAGTTAGTGTTTTACAGAAAGTTGGTTATTCACCAGATTTGAACTGAATTTTTAGAAATTCTTTCGTTTTACGATGCAAGCCCAGGAAAAAAAATACCGAAAAACTCATTGCTGGATTAGTTAGTACGCTTTTGACGTCACAAGCAAGCATTAGTCTTGCCTTTTATTTATAATATTGCAGGACGACGCACACACTTGCAACGATTGCCTCCAATCCCCGTTCAGCAGAAAAAGCATACGAAATCGAGTTATCGCACTATGATTGCTTTTTATTCGCTTTTAGCCTATCCATCTTCCGAAGCATGAAGAGAGCAGGGGAGAAAGTACAGATCTGATATTCTCAACATTCGTGGTTCGAGGCCAGTCGGAAACCTTTTTACCTACATAATTCATTCCTCTCACTAATATACTCCACATTTATCGATCTCTATTTTCTTGGATTGGACCGCAGCTCGGTATATCTCACCCTCCGTTCATGCGGTCGTCACTAACATCCTTCGATGATGAATCCCTCATTATTGTAAGCAAATCTTACATCCTCCGATTCGGTGTAGATTTAAAATAAACAAAAATCATAGGACGTCAACTTTTGGAAACATTTTTTTAACTGAAGAGGGAGCCCTTAAGACCAAACATACCGTTATCTCTTAAGCAGTGTTCGGAAAATCTAAAAACTCAAATCTCACACTTGAAATTCAACTGCCCAAAAATCACCGATGAGATTTCAGGTTCAAAAATGCATTGCTTTATATTTTGGCGTATTTCACTGTTATTTGTTGTTTTTGTATCAGTGGACGCAAAACTAACAAAATATGTATAAGCATGCTATCAATTGACGTTTGAGCGGTTTGATTGTCAGATTCACATGCTAGTTTATTCTCTTCGGAGGACTTGAGAATAATTTTACGAACACTGCTGTTAAGGTATAACCATAATCGCATATCAATCCCATCTTCTCTATGCATATAGGACAATTATGCGATTATGGGCAGAAGTTTCAAATGTATAGTTTTTCTATCATTCATCAACACATTTACAGTTCAAGTTATGGCAATTGAGGTAGAGACAATTTAACGTTCAAGGTCGATTTCGGAAGTTTGAAAAATAATGTTCGTTTCTTGTGTGTTAGTTTATTCGAAAAAATATGAGAAAGAAAATTAAACATGGCACATAAATTGTATTTTCAAAATATTACTGACATTTGCAATCAATGGTTGTACATTGTATAGAAACTATGGAAACAACAAAGAACTAAAATGACAAAACGAGTCGAGTGTTTAATTTTACTTCTGTCACTGAATTTCGATTTTTAATTCAATTAAAATTGCAATTATCTGATCATAATGCCAGTTTCGTTATGTTGAGTTGAAAGAATCAGAGCAAATATGCGACAGGACGATTAAAGTTTAAAAAAAACCGTAAAAACATAGCAAGGTAGGATGGCCTTAAACGCACCCCTGGGGTAAAAGTGCTCCGTGCTGGTTTTCATACACGGCGAATGAGAACAACTCAAATTTGAGTTTAGTTCACTCATAATCGTCAAAAGTGCAGGAACTCAGCGATGAGTTAATTTGTTTCATGTTTTCCCAGGTTTTTCCAGGGAAAAAATCCCGAATTTGAGAAAAGTAAAGATTGGATTCACTCAGTCTATTGATACTACTCCGAGACTGAATTAAATTTTCGTCAATTTCCTCATTTTCCGGCAGATTTTTTAGGTTTTCCACAGGAAACCATGAGACAAATTTAACTCATCGCTGCGTTCCTGCACTTTTGGCGATTATGAGTGAACTAAAGTCAAATTTGGGTTGTTCTCATTCCCCGTGTAGCTTTGCGATCGTCAATTCGTTGATTTACTGAGCAGCATTGCTCAGGGGCGGGGATATTTTCCTCCAAGGGTGTATTATAAACTGTTCTCCCGTTGTCATGAAACACGATCTACTTCAAAGACAGAAATGAAATATGCTTCCATCCACTGCAATTTTCTTTGCGTCTTTCAATTTTAGAGTTAGTAGGTAGAAAAGAAAAGAATAGAAAATAAAAGAAAACTGAAAAGAGTGTATCTTGTCACAGTTTCCAAGAATAGCCAAAAGTCGTCATCGAATTTCCACATGTTAACTCTTATCATCATCAAGCCATTGTCCAAAAATCATTTTGTCCGTAGTTCGATTGCGTAAAGTCAAGTCATCAATAGTTTTTGTAGTTTGGCTCAAAATTAAAATTTTATTATATTGTAGGACAGATGCCAGTCTGTACGTTTCCAACAGACATTTTCGATGTAACTGGCTCCTGCTGGTTGCGGATCACCACATTGCGGATACAACCCTGGTAGGGTTCCCGAGCCGTAAGACCTCGAATCTGGAATTGAAAATATTGGTATGTTTTGTATGAGATGTCCTTTTCAACTAAACGGGTCGAGCTTACCCTCTGAAGATGAGGATGGCCTCCAAGGAACAGCGGCCTGGTGGTGTCCGTTGATCCCGAACGAGCATCTCCAATAGCCGGGTTGGAACTGACGTCATTGACCTTGATGGTAATAACATAGAACGACTTGATGGCCGTAATCGTACGCCATTGGCCATCGCACAGATTTTCACTGGGATCTGGGATGAACATAGCAGTGAATGGTTCATCGCCGTTGTTCACCGTCAGGCTGATGTTGCCATTGACCAATTCAAGAACGAAGAAGGCACGTTTGCCATGTACGGACATCAGCAAACCTGTCGTAGATCTTGGTTTGATGTCCATGCTGACAGTCAGCTCATTTCCAACCTTGAATTTCTCTCTCAGTTTTATGAAACCACCTCCCTTTCCAAAGAACATGCCTGTCTCGATTTGAGACGAACAGGGGATGGTTTGAGTAATGTTGGATGGAGAACCGAGAAGCTTATTGAATGCCTTGATTTCCGTAATACATCCAACGAATTGATCGCGCTCCAAGATATTCTTATCGATCTTAAGATTGAGAGCAACATCTTCGTAATGTTCTCCACCAGAGACACCTCCAACGAAGAACGGAGCTTGTACTTGCATGGTTCTAGTGTTTCCAGCAGACTCTCCATGTACCTCATCTTCACTATCGACCACCAATTGACCCTTGTTATGGACTCGAGAGAAATGGACAGTGTGCCATTCATTGTCGTCGTAGCTTCGTTCCGAACTAATATTAGCCGATCCAGAGCCACAGTTGAACGAGTGGAATACTTTTCCATCTCGCAAATACAGGGCTATAAAATCGGTATGTCGAGAGTCAGCAGCATAGAATAACACACCCTCGGAGAATTCGGTTTTGAATGAGAGCGAGAATTCATACTGTTTCTTGATTTTTTGAGGTATTTCATTGAACTCGATGTGGCTGAAAGGTCCCGTACCGAATCGATAACCTGCATCGAAGTCAACGTCTTGTTCGGGTACGACTGGTAGTCTGCAAGTAGGTTCTGGTTTCTCGGGTGGTGGTCGAGGTCGCCTAGTAGTAGTAGTAGTAGTCGTTGATGTTGTTGTTGGTTTAGATGGAGTTGTCGTAGTTGTAGTTGTAGTAGTAGTAGTTTCCAAATCATCTGGCTGGTCGGTAATATCTTCTTCCCATGGCCTATGGGGCAATCCTTCAACTTCATTTAGCTTGTCATCAGGTTTATGTTCATCTGCATCGACCCGTGATGTGAATACTACTGGTTCGCTTCCACCATCCGGATAAAATAGAGGAACTTCACTTGGGCTGACTGCAAAAATGTCCTTCGAGCAGTGGTCCAGTACCGCAGATTTCTTATCCTTCAAGTTGGCAAAGTTCACGATTTGACCATTGACTGTCACATCACGAATACATCCCCAGAAATAAGCCGGAGTTGCAATGGCATTCCTCGGGGTGACAAAGTTCTTTGGTAAACCACCGAAGTAAATCTCCCCACTTACAATATCCAACGGCGGAGGTTCTTCATCGGATACAAATGGATCACTATCGTCCACAACCAATGACCAGCGGTAATTTTCCTGAGTTGCAGTGACAGCATGCCAATCGCCATCATTGTAACGACTGTTTCCAGTGGTAATTTCCTTTTTGGTACTCCTCAAAACCAACACTCCGTCCTCCAAGGTCAATCCGAACGTTGCACTTTGATCATCGTTGGCAGTGTAGAACAGTACTCCGTGGGTCTGATGCGTTTTAAATTTGATATTTACTTGAAGACCATTTGCTGATGCCACTTCTGGTTGGCTTACATATCCAAATTGGTGTGGTGGGAAAGATAGCAATGAAGAGAATTTCATTGGACATCCTGGACGTATATCTAATGCCTTCTGGTTAATACTCAAGTCCACCTTTGTTCCCAAAATGTATACATCATCAATACAACCATCGAAGCCCTTTGTCGTAACCTCCGAATGGTTCATCTTGCCTGGATAACCACCGAAGAACATCGACTCCGAAATCCTCAACGGTTCAACATTGCCTTCAAAGTGAACATTGGATGCTTCCTGATAGATCACATTTCCATCGACCGTCAGCTTACCAACAACCCCATCACGTTCAGCCGATACAGTATGCCAAGCATCATCATTGAAACCATGCCCGGATCCGATTGATACTACCTCCGCATGTTGACCAAGCTTGAACTGGAACACAATCCGTCCGTCCTTCATTTCAATCGAAATAAAGTGACGGTTTCTACCAGCGTAGAACAACAAACCGTCCTGTGTATCTTGAGTTGCCTTGAACCGGAACTGGATTTGTGAACGATGCTTGAATGAATATGACTTTGCATCCACCATAACGTATCCATTGCCACCGAAACGGAACCCTGTCGTAGGCTTATCTTCATCCAGTAGCTTATCACGTTCTCTGCCACCGTGGACATTTTGAGTCTGTACAAAGTTCCACAAGCCAACGTGTTCACCTCCGACTTGCAAGTCTTGAATTTGACCAGAAAATCCACCTGATTTCACATCGCTAGGCATGTTGTACTCCGGTGGATAACCCCCAACAAAGAGCTTACTATTTTGATCGACGTTAAATACATTATAAACTCCCGGTAATGTCTGCTCCTTCGGATGAATCATTTCTGTTCCATTCTCCAGCTCTTCACGAATCGTCAACTTGACATTATTTCCACTTCGATCGATGATAGCCTGATACCACTTATCGTCCGCCACATATTTCGGATTGATCACCTTCTCCGGATCATTACCCAGGTCAATCGATAGCACAGGATAACCATTCTCAATCTCCAATGCCATGTAATCATCTCGTGAAGTCTTCTTGGAATCCGGTTTTACTTCGTTACCCAAGTAGAACAAGAATCCTTCCGGTTTGTTCGTCTTGAAGTAAGCTGATACGGTTGAGTTCGAAGCCATCTGTGATAGCACCTCTGGAGGTTTGATCTCTAAAGTAGTGTTCGGATGGAACGTCATTCCAAATTTGATACTGTTGGCCAACGATCGTGCACTGGCAATTTGTTTCTTCAGCGACTCCAAACGATCACCAATGTCACTCACAATTGAATCAATCATATTCTGTTTCTCTTCTACTTCGTTCACCATCATTGCAACCTTTGGAATCATGTTCTTATATTGATCGATTTGACTTGCAGCCTGATGAATGCTCTTATTCGTACGATCGATTTCTTTCGGCAATTGCTCTGCCACATAGAGACTTTTCGGGAGATCCGAAATGATTGGGTCTAGGATCTTCAAAGCGTTCTGGGAATCCTTCTGAGCATCAATGGCTTGATCCCTTGCGATTTCCCAGCTGTTAGTGTGGGATTCTTGCGGGATGCCATCCAACGACTGATTGATTGAATACAAAACATCATCGCTATCTTCGTTGGATTTCTTAATTTGTTCAACTGTTCCCACCGATTTGTTAATATGTGGTTCCAAATCTGATTGCAAGGAATGAAGTGATTTCATAGCATCGCTCAGTAGCTCGCTTGAATCACTGTCCGACTCTCCTGCTAGATCATCAACTCCCTTTGTCAACTCCGTTGCATTCTGAGCCAGAAGCTCAGCCTTTTCGGCATTGGCTTTGGCCTCATTCACTGCATCAGCGATCATTGAGTACGCTGTAGCAGCCTTCAATGCCATTTCCGAATTGGCTGTGACATTCGAATAGTTGGCAGTCAAACGTTGAGCTTCCTCCTTCAAGTTTGCAGCATATTCCATGGAATCCTGGATCTTCGACGAAAGATCCTGATACTCTTTGTCGTTTTCAGGAAGCTCCTGATCAACTTTGCCATTAAGTTGCTTCAATTCTGAATTTGCATTATCTAGCTCCGAGTGAGTGGTGAAGATGTCAAGGCTTATCTTCGAAGAGTCATCCAACAGATTCTTTGCATTCTCGATGTTTTCATTAGCCTCCTTGTGTTGAGCAGATACCGTATCAAACTTGGAATCCAAAGCTCCATTATTCTTCTTGTTCAATTTAGCTGTGGTACGACTTTCCTCTTCGATATTAAGGCTCCAGTTGTACAAGTCTTCCAACTTTACGTCAAACGCTCCAATGCTGTGCATGAGCTTATTTAGCCGATTCTGTTGATCGTGCACAGGCAGTGCGAACACTTCTACCTTCGACAGTAGGTCGGTAGCATTGTCCAAATGGACATTGAGGCTTCCAGGAGTAGCGGAATATTGCTTAATTAACTGTAGATAGTTGACAGCCTCCGCATGTGCCTGTTCCAACTTGTGACTTTCTGATTTACCCAAATTTTCTGCCAACTTTTCAACTTCCATGATCGTATTTCTGGTACTAATGTCCACAAAGCGACACGAGTCCAAAATATCTGAAGAACCCCGTAGAAGATTATCACTCTTTGTGGAAAGGTCGTTAACATTTTGATCAGCATAGTGAATGCGACGATCAAGATTTTTTACATCCATCTCCAATGACTCCACCTGCTGTTTGGGTGGATTAAGGTTAACTCCATGAGGATCCAGTTTGCGAACAGATGGTTCAATTTCATCCACCAAATCGTCAAAGTACTTCAATTTTTGAGAAGTATAGTAGTCATCAGCAACGGTTTCGATATCTAGCAAGACTGGGTCGATCGTTTCCTTCAGCTCATCTGTCACATCCAACAAAGCATGGTGACATCCATCGCACTCCTGACAACCGGTATCAGGAATCAGAACCCATCGGTACGGACACGAATCACACTTCTCTCCAACGACACCGGATAAACACTCACACTGTCCAGTCTGAGCATTGCATCCCAAACCTCTGGAGTAGTCTGTGTTACACGAACATGGAATGCATCCGTCCTCGGAATAATTCCAATAGCCTGGCTCACAGCGATCGCACTGTCGACCAGTAACGCCTGGCTTACAGGCACATTTTCCGCTATGATCATCACACTGAGTACTATTCGAGGCGAGTCCACAATCACACGCCGTGCAACCACGTCCGGACTCGAATCCGAAATGATCCTCTTCACAACGATCGCATTTCTCGCCTATCACATTCGGAAAACAGTTGCAGCTTCCAATGAAGTTATCACAATGTTCAGTACCAACAGCATCGCAAATACAGCTCTGACAGTCCTTAAGATTGACTGCATCTCCGTAGAATCCAGGTGCACACAAATTACAAGCTCTGCCATATGTATTGTTCAAACAAAGCAAGCATTCTCCTGATACAGAATCGCATGAACCAGGTTCATCTGGGTTGATGTTACCGGAGCAGTCACATTGTCTACAAACTTCACCTTCAACTTCCGGTTGTCCAAAGAATCCAGAAGCACAGCTTTGGCATTTCTCACCCGTGTAGCCCGGTTTACAATCACAGTGAATCTCATAGCCATCCTCCGATACTTCACAAGACGTCGCAAAATTATTTGAATCAATCGGCAATGGGCAAGCGCAGATCATGCAATCATTCGGAGAACCTCGAGTAGCATTTCCGTAGTACCCTTCGATACACAGTTCGCAGTGATCACCGGTCGTATCGTGCTTACATTCATTGCAAATTCCTGTAATACAGTCGCATTTTTCGGCATGACCATTACACTGACAAGGGATACAGTAGCCTCCGTATGGTCCATGTGTATCACGGTAATAACCCGGTGCACAATCCTCGCAAGATAATCCAGTATATCCCGGGGGACACGAACAACGTTCGACGGACAATTCTTCATACATATCATAACTGCCTGGATCATCGTGAGCCATGGTCAAACTTACGTCGGAAACAACCGTTGAGAGGCCATTCTCCCAATAGGAGGCTCTGACGTAGATAGCTTTCAGATCTCGCAACAATACCATAAACTGCTCACGGGTTACTGAACCTCCCGAAGCGGTCTGGAAGTTTGATTCCACCATTTGAACACGCCCATTAAACAGCGTATTCGATGCGGGTTGTTCAATGCTCTGATGAGTCACCACCATGTTCTTTCCTTCCAAAATCACATCCGGTCCAATCAACGAACTTCCAAATAGACCATTTGTGTAGATGATCTTGTAAGTTAAATAACCACCGTAGGCAGTAATATGACTATTCAAATCAAGCAGATAATCCAACATTCCAAAGTAAGCCAATCCGGAGAGCAGTTCTTCGTTATCCACGTCGCTCAAAGCCACTTCAGCTGATGTTTCGTTGATCATTATTTCCCCATCAACAATCCAAGGTGCGATCTGTGGTTTCCCACCTGATAGCTTGATGGTATTTAACGTGACGTCCTTCATCATACTGACATTGAACGGTCGAAGGAAAGCCGTCTCGCAAACGGAAGTATGTCCAAAGCAGAAACACTTGGTACATCCCTCCGGGTTTGAGGCTTGCAAGTTGTAAGTTCCGTCCACACATTGGCTACACTCTCGACCTTGCACATTCTTCTTACAGAAACAAGTCTCATCATTTTGATCACAAATCTCAAACGTTGTTCCTCGGATGTCACACTTACAAGGTTCACAGTATGGGAAATTGAAGAACCCAAACTGACAATGATCGCAGGATCTGCCCACTACGTTGGATTTACAATCACATACACCGCTTTGCAAATCACACTGAAGATTATTGTTGGCAACACCCAATGGATGACAGTTACACTCTTCACAGCCAATAATCTGATCATAGCCGAAAGTATATGGCATACACTGATCGCACTTCTCTCCAGTCACACGGTCCGGACAGATACATTCTCCAGTATCTTTCTGGCAAAGGGCCGTTGATGGACAGTCGCAAGGCTTGCAGTCAGGAAATCCGTAATAACCGGTTTTACAAGCTTCACATTGACGACCAATAATGTGTGGCTTGCACTGACATTGTCCTCCAAATTGCTCGCACTCGAAGCTGTTGGATCCGTAGTAATCACAATTACAGGGCAGAGCTCCAGTGTTGTAGTCTGCTGTCAAGGAGAATACAGCTTCCTTGCAGAAATCACTTGCATTCAATTGGATGTGGAAATGATTTTGGCCGCATTTCTGGATGAACTCCTTAGTTTGGTCGAAGGTTTCCTCTTGGAGAAGATCATCGTGGAACTGATCAGCTGGCACCAACTGAATGTAGTCCAACCAAACTCCCTTCGTGGCACTGCTCAACAAAGTGAAATCGAACGTGTCCTCCAAATCGAACCAGATGAATCCGTTATCTTGTTTCAACACTTCACGACATCCAGTATTAGCCGGACAGTGACGCAATGGCAGTTTTCCATCAAAGTTCTGACGATCCGTCTCAATTCGGTACTGAATGTTGAACACTGGATGGTTCGGTTGATAGAACTTTACAATAATCACATAGCGATCAGGATGTGATACCTTTGCCTTAAAATTCAACGCTGGCTCATCCTTATCCAAATAAATCAGTTTCGTTGCATCATCCAACATATCACTTGGGTTGGTCTCTGCAATACGACCTTCGTTGTCCGCTTCGAATTCAATTTTTTTCGAGTCCGAAGCTGTACGGTAACTTGTCAGCACGCATTTGCCATTCTGCATTACGCAAACTGGGCTAGGACTTATGTAATCGGTGGACCATTCTTCATAGGGAATAGCAGTGACGGATTTGATAGCCACAGCTCCAGTAGGTTCTTGGCTTGAAACGGTGATCGGTTTGCGGTTGTTCGGGTCAATGTAGAACACTTTTTCGCGAGACTCTTTATCAATGACTGGCTGGCGGCAAACGGTGGTGTACGTACAAGGATAGGCAGTAACCGTGCCATCTTGTTCAATATCTCCAATTTGATTGATCTGTAGAACAGAAATTTCCGGGTAATTACGATTGGTAATGTAGTCCACCACAAGTACGTATCGATCTGGCCGTGGGACATCCAGCGAGTAGCTCAGTTCGTTCTGATCGACTGTCAGTAGAGGAAGGTTCTCTTCTTTGATCACATCCAGATGATCGTAATCCTTGAAATATTCTCCAGGCTTGAACGAATCGTCTCCCTCGACAATATGCGCTTCCAGCTGTGGCTTGAACTCGATAATGTTTGGGTACTTGAAGTGACGGCACAGTTCCATGTCGGTAAACTCGCATGGATTTTCGATTTTCTTGGTCAAAATTGAAGCTTCATAGTACGCTGCAGGCAGAAGGACGAAGTAGTCGAGGAATACATTTTTATCAGTCTTGATACTGATGGTATACCGGCCAGGATCCAAGACGACGGGAGAAGGAATCTCTCCTTTTGCCCCCGAAACGGTTACAAATTCCGGATGTGTGTTTGGCTTGAAAAGTACCTTAGCTTTCTGTTCAAGCTCAGCCGGATTATCAGGAGTAATCAATATCTGAGCGATGACATTGTCTTTCGTTGGATTTTTGTAGTAAATTACTAGGCGATACACGGAAGACTTATGTATTGAGACTTCGTTGATAACTTCATTCTGCAGACCAGAAAACACTGCATAGCCTCGTTTGCTGAACTCTGGGAAGACATCTTCATGGAACTGGTAACGGACTTGAGCTCCCGATGGAGTATATCCATCTTCATATTCATATTGGAACTGGTTCAAAGTTGGGAAATAATGAGTCGTCAAAGGATAGGTGCAAGTTCTTCCAGTGATCCTAGGATGACATTTACATTGACCGGTCTCCTTGTTGCAGACATTGTTAGCCGAACCTCCAATGTCACAGCCGCAGTCCTTGCAACCAAACAAGCTGGCGCCAAACAAATCAAAGGTGCCGTCCTTGCATTCCGAACATTGACGACCAGTTACCGAGGGTTTACAAGCACATTGACCAGTTTTGGTGTCACAAGTGTCCAAAGCACCGATTGTTCCATCGATGAAACATTCACAATCCTCGCAGCCATGTGGATTACTGGCGTTCAAGTTCCAATACAACGGTCGGCATTTGTCGCAAATTCTTCCATGAACGCGCTCCTTGCACTGACATAACTCTCCAGCAGGTACTGATCCACAACCGGCAAACTTCGCTATGACACCAGCCGGATCACAATTGCACTCTTCGCAAGCTGGGAAATTGTAGAAACTTTCCTTGCACTGGTTACAGGTTTTTCCATCGAAGTTGTACGCACACTGACACTGACCTTCATTGTTACAGGACAACCCGATCGACCCATGAGCATCACAGTTACACGGCAAACATTCAGGATATTGGTAGTATCCAGGAAGACACATGGTACACTGTCTACCAGAGAAGTTCGGTAGACAAGCGCACTTTCCAGTAACATCACAAACCGTGGACGCGCTTCCAGCTCCGGAGCAGTGACATGGCTCACAATTGGGATAGTTGAAGTATCCGGGGGTACACTGATCACACCGAGGTCCTCCGTAGCCTTTACGGCACAGACACTGCCCGTTGCCTTTGTCACAAACTTCATCCAAGGTTCCGCTTACGTCACAGTTGCAGTCTGTAAGATGAAGTTCGTTGAATTTGAGACATATTACAAAATTGCATTTCAAAATACTCACATGTACATGCAGGGTAGTTGAAGAAACCATCTTTACATTTTTCGCAATGTTGACCAGCGAAATTCGGCTTACACTGACACTGTCCAGATCCGAAATCACACACATCACTTACTGAGCCAATAGCGTTGCATCCACAAGCTACAAGTAAAAGATCCAGTTAGGCAACATTCCTATATCTTCAATCAACCAGCACAGCTTACGTTCACAATCCGGGAAGTCGTAATAGCCGTTGGCACACTGCCTACAGTGATCACCATCGAAATTTGGTTTACATGGACACTCCCCATTGACGGCTTCGCAGTGATAACCGATGGTTCCGTTCAGATTGCACTCACACGGACGGCAGTTCGGATATCCAAAATGGCCATACGAACAGGAATCACAATTCGGTGGGTTGAACTCCGGTCGGCACTCGCAACGACCCGTTTCTTCTTCACAGTTTCCAGTGGAGTAGAAGTGATCGCAGTTACAAGCTGTAAAGATTGAAATGCTTAATAAATGCTTATATGTTCACACAAACGATAACTTACGTTTGCAAACATCGGTTTCATTCCATTGCTTTCCGTATGGGCGGTAGAACGTGTTCTGACATTTGTTACAGTTGATACCTTCGGTATGGTGCTGGCAATTTTGGCAGATACCACCTCCCTCGTAGTTGCCGTGGATATCCAACGAGAGGTGTTTCTCGTCAATTTCTTCGGAGTAGATACACTCAGTCGTATGGCCGTGGCAGTTGCAAGCTGTAATAGTATGTACATACAGCTCAAATGAAGTGGTTTGAGAGCGCTAAGTGAATAAAAGAGATCTTACGTTCGCACTGGAAAGGTCGAGCATTCGTGTTTTGGTGCCATTTCTTCTGTTCGAAACCTGGACAACACTCTGCACACTGAATACCACAAGTGCTGTGTTGACACTGGCACGCCAGGATACGTTTTGACGAGCGTGGATCTAGCACATTGCAAGTGTTCGCATGACCGTTACACATGCAGCGGCCTCCGATCGAAATATCTTTGATCGAGTAGAAGTACTGTGAAGCACAAAATGTAAATTAAATTATGTAGTGATTAGTGTAAGATTGACAAAATTCAACTCACTCTTCGAGTAACGGTGGGATCCTGCCGGGCGACGGACATCAAATGTCCTAACAGATTTTTCGTTCGGAGCAGCCGAATTCGTACGTTAGTTGCACGAGTCCACTCCTGCAGGGCGGTCGAGTTGAAGTAGTTGTTTGCTGAGGGACGATTGTTCAGCAACATCACTGGGATCTACAAGCGAATGAAACATAATTTTCATCAGCATGCGATCACTACTTGAAAACTGCTCGAATAGCACCATATTCACCACAATATGCACCACGGTTGCCTACGAACACGGCGCAACACAATGAATCGATCAACTCACCTCACCATTCTCGAGCGGTACAATTTTCGAGTACTCGGTCGTACAGATCACATCATCGTCGTGCATGATAGGACGCAAACTGTCCCGCCCGAAATAGGCCTCGCAATCGGCGGGTGAGTCGGAGAAGTGCTGCCACGATAGCCATGTCTTTCCATAATCGATCGATTTCTCCAGTGTCCACAGACCGGGACGGGGAGAGTTGCCCATACGGATGAACAGATACGCCACATGGAATTCCTAGGAAAAATAAAAAGTTTCATACATATTATGAAATTTATTCCTATGATTAGCACAACACGGATGGATAGAATGTGAACGAGTCAAGTGTGGGCAGACGTTTAATTGCTGTCGTTTTATCAATATAAACTTGAATGTTTAAATAGAGCTGCTGATGATGCAGTAGATCAAATTTCAGCATCGTATGCACTACGGCTCAGACTTGAATGTGCATTTTAAGTGAGGTCATGAATTATCCGTTTGTTTGTCAGTTTGACTAAGCATGAAAACATATAACACATTATTGAATGCAGAATTTCCAATGGAGTTCAGCAACACTAATTGAGCGTGACTCCATATTTCATCTATATATATATGTATGCTTTTAAAATCTCTCCGTTACAGAAAAAAAATCTACCAAAGAAATTATTTATAGTTAGAGCCAGGACAGAAAAAACCAAGCAGAAAATTTTTTCATCATCTTACTGCATAGCGTCCTGCAATGAGATGATGAAAAATTATACTGCTTAATTTTGTCTGTCCTGTCACTAACTGTAAGAATGCAATGCATACTTATTAGTATCTTTTCAAAAAATGAGATAGCAACTTGGGAAAAAATGTGGACTATAAAAAATTTTAAAATATTCTTGAACATTATATTTTACGAAATATCAATGTATAAACAGTTAATGTTGAAAAAACTTTTTTTAGGGGCCGCCCTAAATTACTTATTAATATATACTGATTATTATTATGAAGCGTAAACCATTAGACATAGAAAATTTATTCTTTCGACAAACTAGTTTAAAATAACTTGTTCTACAACTTTTTCGAAAAAACTAAAAAGTTGTTATTTGGAATTCATCAACTGAATGGACCACCCTAATATCTCGCACAACAAAAGATTATAAAAAAATAAATAAAAAAAAAGTTTCCCGAAGACGCTATACAGTGTTTTCCCGTGGATATCTTTTTTTCCCCGATTTTGTCAGCCTGCAGATTTCACTAAAACTGTCAAGTTTTTGAACATGGATTCTCAAACTTTTTGCACTGAATAATTTTTATTCTTACTCTTAGTTAAAATTTTAATGCTAGGGGAAATGGGGGGAAAAAGGACATAAGGGGTAAAATGAACAATTAACGATTTTAAGTGCTTATTTATTCAAATATCAATCAATTCAACGCACAGGTCTTTCAACCAATATACCTTTTATCTTTTAATAGAATTTCACTAACATAATTTCTCCGTTTAAAACATCAATTGTACATTTTACTCCCTGTTCTCCAACTAGGAATTAGTAGTTTTGAATTGCTGTGTAATTTTTACCATGGAAACCTATGTTTTCTTAGCTATCGTAATAAAAAACATTGCTACATGTTCAACAATTTATTCTCCGATAATAAAAAAGAACATTACATAGTGTATTGAAAATCCATTGTACATAAAAGTTTTGATTGACTTTCAATGTTCAAGATACTTCGTCATCACAAATTCTCGAATTCAACGGCGATAAATAACATCGTAAATTGAAACGGACGATGCTTCAGCTCAATCAATTATTTTCATTCTTATTGATTCTAACTTGCTGCTTGCTCCTGGATTTGCTGGTTCGCTGAATGCGGAGATATGAGACTCGTTTTGCTTCGGATCTTCTGACTGATCTTTATTTATCACCTGTTGATCATTCATCACAAGTTTCAAAATATCGTCATGAGCTTTACAAGCATATTACTTTTCCACATTATGAACGATCACGGTGTCGTCATGATTATTGCTCCAGTCCATTAGTTGCGCCAACGGAATGCCGTCTTCATTAAAAAAAATCCTCCAATTTTCATCCATGATTCCTGAATCACATCGTCGTGTAATTCTGCCCAGGCTTCATGTACCCAAAAACAGACTTATTTTAACGAGATCTGATTCAAACATTAATTGGTGTTGTTATCCTTGTCGCAGGCCCAAGAGCTTTTCTTGGTACCGTAGTTTAATATTTTGGATCACATTTTGATCCATCGGTTGAATTACAACATTTACTTTTGCAGGCAGAAAGTAGAATGTGATCAAACCATCATCACTTTCGAGATCATCGTTTAGATAATGAGCTGAATAGGTATCAGTTGTTCAACAGCAAAGCGTCGGACTCCTGGAACAAAGTTATTATGGACACGGTTTGGAACAACTCAGGTGTCATCCAGCCATGTTTTGTTACGGAAATTTTAACATTTTTTAATGCTCTGGGGTTATGGGATTTTCCAATAACCACCAATCGCAGTTTGTTGTTTGCCATAACATTAGAATACGGCATGAATGTAATCCTTTGCTTGATAATTTTACGCCCTGGAGTATTTTATCGACCAAACCAACAAATGATTCTGACGGCAACATTTTAAAAATCAATCCCAATTCGCCCTCATTGAAAATCATTTTAGTTGAAAGCTAACGACAGCAAATTTCCTCGTGAAATTGTTCTAAAAAACCAACCATCAATACTTGTTGTGTCACTGAACAATAGTTCCCTGCAATTTGAGTTTTCTTATGCTATATCATAATTTGAAGATAAGAGCCCAATGTTGGGAAAATGTGCACGTCGAAACGTATTTGATTCCTTTGCTGCGCTAACAGTTCTTACTCGATGCAGCACGAAGTATGTAATTACGGTATAATTGTATGTGTGTATTAGACTGATGCAAAATTTGACTTTTTCGCTCCACAGTGCTCAAATGGTTTCAAATCGGGTCCAGATTAGCCTCCCAAAGCTACAACTCATTTGGTTAGAAACAGACTTCGCACAAGCCATTTGAAGTTTACATGTAAATTACTATAGGAAATCTCAACTTTTTGTTTATTGCCTTCTAGTCTTTTTCCATATTGAGCTGCGAATCAGTTCGATAGCCATTCTTATAGAAAATTTTCTCAGCTACAACTTTGCTAAAGATCGTTTCTATTTAAAACGAGACAGGAAAAAGTTATTAATTATTTGAGAGAATGGTTAACTTATGACATGATCAAGCAGCTGCTCTGTAGGCAACACTGTATTTTGCTGTGTGACATAGTAACCATGATTTTTGTGTCCTATTCAACGCCCCAGAAACACCAATGTTGCCTGCTGAGCAGTTGATTGAGCATGATCATAAGACATCAGCGCATTGAACCATTGATAACTTTCGATCCTTGCATTTAATCAAAAAGTGGTCTTGACTCAAAGTTGTAGCTGAGAAAATTTCCTACAAAAACAGTTGAAAGCTTTTAAAGCAGACCGATATGATGAATTATTAGATAGACATGAACGAAAATCTTGGTTTTACCATAGTAATTCCCATACAAACTTCAAATGGTTTGTGCCATCTCAGTTTTTCACCAAATGGGTTCAAATTTTGAGAGGTTAGTCAGGATCTGATTTGGAATCGTTTAAGTATTGTGGAGCGAAAATTTCAAATTTTGCATCACTCTAGTGTGTATGTATTGTATAAGTAAATAATCATTGTTAAGTATTGTATAAGTTTGTAATCAGCGTATAATAATTGTATAATAATCGGAATAATTCGTGGTAATTTCATACGCACTGGTAATCAATGTTGGTAGAATCCCATCGATATTTCTATTTCGCCAAGGGAAAATTGATTTAATAATTTTAAATATTTGATATTTTAGAAGAGTTTTCACAACTAATAGTCATAAGTATAACAATTTTATTATTCTGAGATAATTTTGATCGAAAAAATAATGATGATTGTTTTTCCCGATTTTGTCAGTTTCCAGTTTTTGTCATCCTAAAATTTAAGAAGGGGCTGAAAAATCGGGAATGCACTGTATACCTAAAACCAATTATTTAGACACAAACATTTTATTCCGCGTAAATACGGTTTCTGGACCACTTTGAATTGTCAAGTAGTTCAGGAGAGCAACCTGAGTAACATTAAACATATCTTACCGATAGCAAATTTTGTAATTAAAAATAGTAAATCTAAAGAACTCTTTTTGCCATTGGTTTGATCGATATAAGAGGTAAAATATTAAAAATAATATCAGAAAACCTATGGGCAGAAGAAGTGAGCAATAGCAAATTAAGCTATTGGCATCATATCTCATGAATTACAGAGGTTTTGAGCTTCACAATGGCAAACCAATATCAGATTGAGCTAGTACAGACAGGACTGTCTTGCATCAACGTAGAGAGTGATGAAAAATATTGTATTACTATCAGCATTGGCAGATATACTGATTTATCGGTATTTATACTAAATACCGATATACAGATAAGGTTCCTCAGAATAGCAATTTTTTTTCCTCAGAATAGCAATATCTTTTTGAATACCTTAAATTTTTTGAGCCTTTAAAATTCTAAAAAAAAAATCATCGTCGAAAATGTCTTATGGATACTCTTTCGATTAATGTTTCAATTTCCTCACCGTTTTTGGCTACCCATGAATCGATAAACAGTCGATGGCTCTTTCTGGTAATTTTGGGGGAATCGGGAAATACTTTTTAAACATTATTCAACTTCCTGGATTTTCTTCCAATTTTCCCCTGGAATTTTCTTCCACCTTACATCGTAAATCATTTTACGATTCCTCTCGGAAACTTATTCCGACTTCCCTTGGAAGCTTTTTCAGCCTTTGCTCGAATGATTCTTCCATCTTCTCTCGCCAATTTTTTTCAACTTTCCCGGAACTTCAGGGATGCTTCCAGATTTTGATTGCGGATCCACACTAGCTGCAGGAACTTTAAAGAAGTTCTAAAACTTCGGATAAGTCCAGACTTTTGAGTAAGTTTCGATAAATTAAAGAATGTTTCAATAACTTCTGTTAAAACTCTAAAACCCGGTCCAGCGAACTCCAGTGAACTTAAAGAAACATCATAAATATTTTGGATACTTCACAAGTCCAAAGAACTTCTGGAAAATTTAAGGTTTTCAGGACAGTTCCATTTGTTTCAGGAGAATTGAAAGAACTTTAGGAAGCTCGGAGAACATCAGGACAGATCAATAAATTTCAAGGAATTCGCTGAAAGGAGTAACGAG